TTTTTTGTTGGAAAAGAGCCTTGTCAGAACAAGGCTGAAGTGGCTGAAGTCCACCAACAACACAAGTCTGCACAGTGAGTCTGCAACACGAGGAAGATCATTTCATGAACCAGAGTCCTGTTGGACATGGGCCAATGGCTTACAGTCCCATCTGAATAGCCAGTGTTGGACAACACCAGTCCTGCATGTTCTTTGATGAAGAATGGCCAAAGACAAATCTGTCTTTTAAGATATTTATTACAATCAATATTTAAGGCAAACTGTTCTAGAAAAGCAATACAGAGCTCTGGGTTCTGTCTTTCTGAAGCACTATCACACAGAAGTATAGTGCATAGCTGCTGCAGGAAGCCGGAAACCATGAATTTCCTCTGCATAAAGAATTTATAATGAAAGTCATGCAAATGATCTGACGTCATCCTGGTTGTCCTTCATCCTCGTTCCTTGGTTGGTTTCTTGACCTCGTTCTGATCTGACCCCTCATTTGGTGATCTTGTCGCCAGGCAGATTTTGAATTCTCAGTACAACATATCCTGACCTTTCGACCTAGACATTACCCTCCTACATACGTCTTTATAAACAGTTAGTTGTTGTCTGCAGATTTAGGAAGAGCACCAGCGTTGCTAGTAAACCTGGTCTACTTCCTGTATGTGGTTTCCTGTCTACTCTTACAGCCTTACACGTCTCCTCTATTCTTGCAGCCAATGAAATGGTTAACACAAGTAAATCATAAAGCATATGATACTATTACAATGCATATGGTACGAACATAAACATGTAGATATATTTGCTAATGCAGATTATAATGTCAATCCTAGAATTTCATATGTTGATACATGTTGATAATCTGAAGCCAAGACAATCAGACCTTACACCAACACACTATTCTCGTGCAGACAGTTTAGTCATCTCAGTATGTATCTGCAAGACTTCCTGTTGCTCTGAGCCTCTGCACCTACTCACAAGCATTTCATGAGCACAGGTCAAGTCTTCCAAAGGTCAAACAAATTAAACAATTATTTGAACAGTTTTGCAAATACATAACATAGCACTATATCATTTTATCAAGAATTTCTTTCTACACCAGCATCAGTTTGAGGCCAGATCTGGTGCACTGGTACAATTCTCTGCAAACTGTCTACTTTGTGGAACTCATGGGAGAACACTGTGCATGAAGCCCTTGAGAGGAAGAAACTGTGTTATATACTGAGCTTGCAGGAGAAGCAGAGCAGAAGGGTTGGACAGCAAAGATCTGCCCAGTGGAGATCAGATATTGGGCCTTTGTGGCAACATCTGTTGTAATGTTGTTGAGGTACGTGGGGATCAATGGCCTATGTCAGACCATTAAGGCTAAATCAGGGGCAGTGGAGTGAAATAGAAAGTGGCTCTGGCTGAAGAGAAATGACCCAACAGGCTGGACAAACACTGAAGGGGATGGTTTTGGGATGCCTGTTGAACTCACTGGAGACACTGTGGGCTAAATCAGCAAAATGTTGATGAGATTAGGAGCCCAGCCGACAACCCCGATGACATGTATTATCCAGCCTCTGTCATCTTCTCAACCTTGGAACAAGCCTTGACAAGGGAAGCAGACAACCAGAATAGCTGCACTGGACAAGCTTTCTTTTCCTCCATTGCCAATCACCTTCTCAACATCAGAGCAAGTTTGGGACACAGTAGGCCAGTAACACTTGTGTTAAGTCAAAAACTTTTTTTTGTTGTTTATTTGCATGAATTGTTCACTTAAATGAAAACTTTGCTGTGAATGATACCTCATGTCGCTTGTTTTAAAAACCGGGAACGTAATTGGTTAAAAACTATAGTGTGGTATTAAAAAGACACTGGGATTAAAAAAACTGATTAGAAAAAGCATCTTTTTCTCAAAGGATTTGGTTTTTTCTGGAAGTCTGATAACTAAACTTGGAAAACAACACTCCATTTATTGTACCCTTTCCTTTTTTAACCAGGCTACACTTTCACTCTCTGTTACTATATATCAGGGTCAATGTTATACCCTGCAGCCATGTGACTACCGCTCAGCACTCTTTTTCCAACACTATTAGTTAGTAAACCTTCAGAGTCATTGACTAGAAATGCCACTGGGGGACAGGATGGTCTCAAATGAATTAGAGGCATTTGACAATAGAGAAATGCCTGTCTATATCTTTAAAATCAGAAGGTCACCCACTCCCACCCCTGAGCCCTGCCACTGCATCCCAGCGTAAGAGTCCCATTGCTGGGGGGAATGAAAGGCGAGTTTGAGGACAAACAGTGGCTTTTCTGTGCTTCGGCTGTACAGTCAGATAGGGGTCCCGGAACTGCGCACACAGTGTTTTGACCCTTGGGTTTTCCTCAATGACCCCCCTGCCCCTCTGCTTACGGACACTAAGCCTGAGGGTCCTGATACACACACGCTCTCTTAGCGGTGTGACGCAGTAGCAGAGGGCAAGGAGGGTGGGAGGAAGGCATTAGGAAGGAGGGAGAGAGAGGGATGTCAATCACTCTTTTCTGGGTACAACACAATTCTGATATGAATGGTCGACACTTAAAGGCCAGTGATGGACCTTGCCTGGGCTTGTGCGACGTACAGTGAAGTCCACACATACATGCATACACTGTATATGTTTGCTGTATGTGTATGCATATAGTCTTATACATATTTATCTATTTAACAACATCCTCATCAATGTTTATACAGCAATTAGGAAACTGAGACACGAGGCGTTTACTGCTGTTAGTTCCGTATTGAGTTTTAAAT